TAGATGAGCATTACTTGACATCAGATGGCTACAAGACGAAGAAATCGAAAATGCCGCTGTTATCTATTATAGCCGTAGAAAAATTATAGTGCATAACTTGCACGGAATGCTGATTTCTTGCTCGAATGATTGCAGCATTCGCCTATGGCTCATGCTGCAAACTTAATTCTCGTAGGAAATAAGAATCATTCCGTGCTCGTTAAAACGTTATACTATTCTGACCGGGATATTATAAGCAGACAATGTATTCTATAATTCCCACTACGACCTACACAGCTTGATAACAAAGTTCTGTAAGAAACGAGTAACTATAGCAATAACAACCTAGCAACTCCTATAATCAACAGTACGTGATTCGAATATAGCAGGAAGGTTATGATCGCAATGGTACTTACATTATTAAATTTTATTCCGCTCTGGAAATGAACAAAATTTTATTGAAATCGACCAGAAATAATAGTAGATTGTTTTATTAGGATCAAGAGTGACACTTTGTTTAACAAGCGAATTCTGCATTTGCAAGGCGGAGCGTTTACAGAAGTCGAGTGAAAGCAAAATTTGCGAGTCAAACAAGGTCACTTTTCAACTAGGGAAAAAGCCATCAAATTCTCAAAGTGGAATGCAATGGTCACAAAGAGGGAGAAACTCAAAGTAATTACCACACTAGTTCATAAAATGAACGAAAATGGTAGATTACGAGAGAAAAACAACTATACTTTCCTGGCTATATGCCACGCAGAACATTGGATTACCATCCTCCCGAAATCTATGCAATAGTACATATAGTCGGATAAAATCGCAAGTGTTTCCTTCCTAAACGCTGAGCTGCGCTTAAGTGGTTCAGGAACGCGTGAGCAGGACTATACCTGCAGACCGGTTTCGAGCTGTTGGCTCTCATCAGGTTTAGAGGCCATCTGGGATAGCCCTGTACTACCTATATATTGAGAATCTCTTATATAGGGAGTATATTATAAATAATTAATATATATATTCGATTCAATATGTCACCCGTCAGTGACATTTAGTTAGCATATTTCGTAATAGAACGCCACTGGTTAGGCGACAATGTACACTTCAAATTTATGTAATGTTTGTGATGTGCCTCAAGCTCCAACTTCAAAGCAAAATCGAGCTTACATGAAGCCAGAATTGTTTCGTATATTATACATAGTGCTGGAATGCACTGAATTCTGTTTTTATATGGCCATTAAATATGAAATGATAACATAAATAAATAACTGTATGAGCGTGAAGTATTTTGTTATATAATAAAAGGTATATGCGCCCGTACCTATATATGTTAGTACCTATTATTATTACACCTATACTAAATAAATGATGCTTTGCAGATCTCTGAGATTCTTTGAATGCAAATGCGGCAAATGGTTCATTTGAAATTATTTACCACCTTATTGAAGATAATTCCATATTATACAGTGTGTTGAAACCTATCGAGGGAATGGAATCCGTATATATTTCCATATATCAGAATAAGTACTTTATCATGCGATGAGCTTTTTTCGAAATTTTTTCTAGGTACCTACTTACGTATTTTCGTCTGGAAAACACGAATTTCACAATGAAATTGTGAGCAAACCTTCTTTTGCAACCCATCTAGGATATTCATTTACAGCTATACTTGTGCTTCTTTTTTCATCACTGGACACTTTATATACTAACGTTGTACTTCAATAACACATTTTATTTCCTGAATCAACAAGAAGTAAATGGTTTTTATTTGGATTTTTTTCATATTTAGTGAGGTAAACAATATAGTTCAGTGGTTTCTCTAGTTTTTTGCGAATTTTTTTGACATATTCGACCTTTATTTGACATCTCGTATTTGTATTTTGAGTTCTGTGATTTGTATTCAGATTTGACTCGAGAACCGAGATTTGATAATTGAATGTCCATCAACTGCTGTGATTGTTTACCTCACTAAAATATGAAAAAAAATCCAAAAAAAAACATTCTTCTTATTGATTTTATCGAATAAAATGTGTTATTGAAGAACAACGTGAATATATTAAGTTTTTTCTGTGACGGGAAAAAAGTTTGGCATTTCATCTCTTTTGACAGGTTTATAAAATGTCACTTTTCATAAATTACTTTTTTCCCGTGGGAAAAAAGTGAGTACTTTTTTCCCCGATATATATCACATATATATATACACTGTTGATAGATTTTGTTATGCTATATAGTTCCGAAAAATGAGTCAATAATACCGTCTCCGAGAAAAAAATGCAAGTCCGTTTATCTTCCATTCGACGTCGCGGTTACGTATATTACTAAACAACCACTAAATTCGCAATTTTTTAAATCAAACTACATAATTAGACTGACAGAAGTGCCATCAGATATTTGATTACTTAAAATGAATGATGAAGATGCCTACAACGCAGGTGTCCCTATACTGTTAAAAACTTTAAAATTTCACGTCGATAATTTTAAGATTTCAAAATAATGTAATATCTTCTCAATATTGTTTCGTCTTTTCTTCTGTCACAGAAAAAAATAGTGTCGGGAAAAATATTAGATTTTAGCTCATCACGGTTTTTTGTCTCCCTCCGCTTCGCGTCGGCGGGAGACAACACAATAGCCTGGAGCTAGAATCTACTACTTTCTTCCCTTTTATATATAGTTGTAAATTGATATCCAATAAGATGGGTGGCAAAATATGGTGAAATTTCGCATTTTTTCGTGAAATTTCTCAATCTCTTGATGACAAATTTTATATTTCATCAGGAGTATACCTCCGCAACGAAGAATCAATTTTGAAGGAATGCTACCCAAATAAGATGTAGATGTAGATACCATGTACCAGCCATCGAGCACACTCTAAGGAGTTTCATCATGGAAGAGGAGCTATAGAGATGAGGTTGAGAAGATATCATTTGTGTCATTCATGAATAAGTTGTTTCCTTGGAATCTGCTGTGTATCTGTTTGATATAATATGATAAGAGGGTTACATTGAAGAATATAGGGTTACAAAAACCTTCAGATCCATATTGGACCCATAAAAACCCCTACCACTCTCTCTACAGGAGTCCACAGCCGGGCCATGTCCCAACCTTTTACAAACACCCTGTATATCTGCGAGAGCAGTCGGAAAATTTTAAAATCGGAATTTCTGTACAAATTATTGGTAAATAGTGAGTATAACTAATTCAAAAACTTCACAAACGATAAGATTTCCACAAAATTCTCAAACACACGACATGTTTCGCTAACGCAGTAGCTTCTGCTTCAGGTGATATACTGGTACAATGAACTAAACTAACGTTGGCTTTGCTCAACTTTTATATATATATATCTCACTTTCCCAACCTGAAGGATCAGTTACCTGTGAACAGGTACGATAAACGTCCATTTTCGGTATACCCTAATTAAATGTAGAATGTAGATATTGTGCCTAATTTCCGAAAATGGAGATTTATCGTACTCTCCTCAGTTGAAGCAATAGTAGGTATAGCAAGCCACAACAAAATTATATTACGGGCCTTCGTTAATAAATGGCGCGAAAAACCTATGGTCACACTATTGCTCATGTCTATTTTTTCTCTAGTTACTACCCTACCGTGACCTAAACTATGTACGATATAGAAGTGAGTCAATAAGTGACGAAAATAGCAAATGTATTTTTATTATCAAATGTGGCTTGTCACATTATTACCTTCCATAAATAAAGGAAGGATGTAAAGGGTAATAAATAAGTATTTTTAACATTCAGAGTCAAATATCTCATTTTCACCTTTCTGAGTCTTGTCATTGATTCACATCATAAGCCCTTCATTTATAATCAGTTTTATATACTGAATGTCCATCTACTTCTTTGTACAATATTCTAAAATTGTGCTATCCGTCATTCGGTTGCCCCCTTACGAGCTATACGTACCCTCAGAAGTCCTCGAGAGTCTTATGCGAGCAAAGAATGACGGAGGCCTTACTTTTTAACGTGTGATCCCAAACTTTCTTGGGTCATCAGAAAAATTTCTGCAGTCGCGGGGAATCGAACCCACGATCGGCAAGCGAATGCGGATTAGAATGCTGACACTCTGTCCGCACGGCTACCTAGTCCCCTGAATGAAATATGAAACAATACTTACCTACCAATAATTTGGAAAAAATATCGAAAAAAATCCAAGTCTGTCGAACCGTTCCAATTTGAAAAAAAATAGTTGTATATATTCGGTTATTTCATTGCCTAATAAATAGGGAGAAAAAATTCGGAGAGCTATATACAGTTTTCTCTCCCTATTTAGCAGACAATGGTTCATTTACTTATCCACACACAGATCATACATTTGCGTCACTAGCGTCACATTCAGAATATGAGCACAGAATATAGGAAGGTACAAAATTTTCATGCATTTCATGACATGAAAGACAGATGATTCCCCATATCACACTATATACATAGTGTCGCGTCACGAACCTGCCATTAGGATAGTGGAGTATTAAGAAAAGGTTTTTTATTTGAAATAAAAGGGACTTTTGGCCACGGTAGAAGAAACATGGCGTCTCCAGGCCAAAAGTCAGGTTAATATATGTGAAGTCCATATTTTTCTAATTACCTGATCTGGATTGAAATTCAATATTTATTGTGAAGTTCATTAAGTGTGTGTGAGAAATATCAGGTCCTATTATCTCTACGCCGGTATAGAGGCCGGATGATGACGGATTCATCGGATAAGGGGGCCATACTTGAAGTCAAACGTGCTCCATTATTTCTACGCCAGTAATCAGGCCGGATCAGCAACGGATTTGCTGGATAAGAGGAGTACATACGATTGAACCTTATAAACACTGATGACTCGGCTTCAGACCATTGTGATAGACAATTGGTGTCTTATGTGGCGAGTCGAGTGATAATATTATTACATAACCAAGTATTTTTTCTTGAAAAAATTAATTACCTGATCTGGAGAAATTGTTTCCGAAAGGAGACAGAAACCCAATAAACCCAAAGAGAAGGAGAAGAAATAAAACACCAGTGAAATATTTTGTTATAATCGTTTTTTTAAATGTCTATATTACATAACCAATGCAATGAATGAGTACAAATAAAATATATAATAATATAGATACAAAATAATTATTTATAAATACATGATCAACTTTCATTTTTTATAGCAAGCCAATTCACACTCAAAGTGGAATTTGTACCACAGCAGAATTTCTTGAAGATCAGATCAACCTCATGAACATCCATTTGTAAATGTTTTTGCAAGTGTGAACCTGCTCACCATTTATTTCCTAACATACTATATATATTACACGAAAAATAAAAACGAATTTATTCTTTAAGGCTGAATAACACGGAGCAATTTTGCCATGGTTTTTACTTTTGAAATTGCATCATGTCATAAAGGCCTTTTGCAATTTCGATCAACAACCTCCATTATGTATCAGACCATCACAGAAAACCACATATAGTTTCATAAGTTGAGTTAACAATAGGAAATTCCAGAGTTACAGGGCATTTCGGTAAATTCGCAAAATGTTTGACGATGCCATGGAATTTTCAATAATTTCAGAGAATCTACGGAGTGATTCCACATAAGTATCGAAGTGCCAGTGTAGCCTAAAATATTTCTGAAAGGAATTGGGACTGCAAGAAAATAGCAGATAAATTGTTATGCTATGGAAGGAAAATCTGAGAAAGTTCAGGAAATTCAATACAATGTTACCATATCACAAAATAAAGTATGAATACATTAAATTGTTGGGAACTTGAAACAATAACCAGAGATTCCATACTACTAAATTCCAAGATAATTCAATGAAATCAATTAGGAAATACCAAAGATATTCAATAATTGTTTTGGTTGAAGAATGAAAATGCAAGTTTCTGTCGACTTTAATGGCTCCAAACTGAGATTTAAAAACCTTATAAAGATGTGAGTCAAACGAATAAGGACAAATAAAATATGAACATGAAACAGATTCATATAAGTAGAAAGGTAATGGAATATAACAGAAGAGTTCAATTATGTTCACAAAAAGGTGCATTTAAGATTCCAAAATCTCGGCGTCTTAGTTTTTCAATGGTCACTTTCTTTTGATGTTTGTATACAAACAATATTTTTCAACATTGCCATATTGCATACCAACTATAGTAGCTATATAAGGTTTCCTTTTTTGTTGGCAATACATTTAAAGATCCTGGTACAATTTCCGTGAATTTATTCAAACCACCAACGTCTAAATCATGGCTAACTTTGCTAACTCAATAATGTCCTGATTTCTTTGTGCATATGACATAGGAAATCTACATAGCTTGGTGAACCGTCGTTGCCACGATCTTCGACTAGGAAATGCTTGAACACAGGCTCTAGTTTCTCCCTCTGCCTTACTAATGTTAGCTGAAAAAACAAAATACAAATTATGTATACACTTATTTATTGAAAATATATTCAACTTGATAGGTAGTCAGGAGGGGTGAAAGAACTTACAGTCACAACCGTTACCACCGATAAAACAAGGCCAGCAGACTCTGACGTAAACAGCTCGTGACGTCGCATACTCAGGCCATCTTCCAAGGCATTCGCGTCGATCGATCGTCAGTTTGTTTTTGTTTAAGAACGGTGGCGTAGGTAAATCGCGTGGTGTGCTCGAATTCTCTTGTTGTTTATTCATCAAAATAATTGGCGGAGAAATTACTGTTTTGTGAAATATTTCGTGTTGTGATAGGCGAAATAACAATGCCTTACTAGTGTTGTGTTCCCTTTTGTCGGGGGAATTATGTGGGTGGTCCAAAAGTTCATGCTTTTAGTTTCCCGTTGGACAAGGAACTATCGAAAAAGTGGGTACATGCAATTCACCGCAAGGATTTTACGACTCCATCTAAGTACAGTAAAGTATGTGAATTACATTTTACTAAAGATGATATTATTACTTCATCTACTGCAACCGATTCAAAAACTGACAAAACTGTAACAATAGATTTGAACATTCCTAGGCTCAAACGAGATGTTATTCCCACTCAATTTCCCAACTGTCCATCTTATTTATCGAAAGATGTAAAATTACGCACAAGTCGTGATGAAAAACTTGAGATACTAGAGACTAAAAATTTGGCACAAGCACTTACCAAAAGTGAAACTGAATTCGAAAATTACCAAAAATCATTTTGCTACACAGAATTTCAAGAATTTCTAGTTGTATTAGAGTCTTTTCAGTTGCCCGAAAAGTGGTTCAAAATTATCGATTTGCAAAAAGTCACATTATTCAAATTGTCTTATTCTCCAGGGCCCGTAATTACATATTCGGTTGTGATTGATTTTGTTTTGAATGTGGAATCATTTTTGTATGACCTAGCGATACAAACATCTCTAAAAGCCAATCTGAAAACACCTTTTATCTCTAATAATATCAATCAAATCAAGGAATTACTAATTGAAATAGATAAAAACGAGATACATAATTCGGGAAAATGTCTTGATAATCAGAATAAGAGGGTTTTGAAACATATTTCGAATGCATTGGACTCTTTGGTTTCTGAATCAATACATTCTCAAATTTCTTCCTGAAAACGGTCATTTGCCTCGTGGCAATGAATGCAGAATTCATTCCAATGATCAAATTGCAACTATTATATTAACATGTACTACAAACACTCTACTTAAAAATTACTGTTTCAAGTCTAACGACCAATTGGGTAAAAAATCCAACAACAGGAAATTGAAAACACTCACTGGCTAATTTTTTAGGTAATAGGAATTCTCCAAGATAAATATAGGTAATTAGGTATAACAAACGGCATGTCTATCAAACTAAAATACATTTTCCCCAATTTTCTTTCGATCAATCTCATGATAAGTTTATGTTATGCGGGCCCTGTATAAGTAGGTGTGAAGTTTACCTCTAATGAGATTGAATCACTACAATTTTTGCCAATATATTTAATTCGAATGGGTTGCTGTAGGTGGGTATTTGTGTTTTATTCTGGTTTTTGCTTTGAAACTTCGTTTTTCCATAATAAAATCGAATGGGATGCGAAGAGGGGCTCAGTTGACGGCTGGCATCCTCTTTCAACCGGAAGCCCTTCAAAAAAAAAGCAAAATCGGCTCAATAATGATCTAAAACTAAAATCGAAATACGCGGTCGCCTTATAGCGCTATAAGCGCTTGTCGTTTCGAGCCGCTGGTTAGGCCTCACTAAGTGACGTCACCCACGGAGCATGCAGGCCTTGTTTTATCGGTGGTAACGTCACAACTCCACCGCATAAATAATTTAATAATGACCAACGGTCATGGACAAAAGGACATGTTTCGCGTCAAAACAATTTTGAAATTTTTGAAATTTAGGCTCTTATAAAGCTGGTCATAAAGTTTGTACCCTAACAGCTACACACCCGCACTATGCGCTGTTCAACATATTGTCTTAGGTTATTTGAGTAATTTTCTTTCTCCGCCAATAATGGTTTTCTTCTTTCTATAAATTTTCTGATGATGAAGGATTCATCCTTTGAAACATGTCCTTTTGTCAATGACTGTGAATTCTTTCACCACTCCTGATTTATATCACCTTCACTGTAAGTTATGGATCACCTACGTTGGTTTGATAGGTAGTAGTTAGTTCATTTGTCACTAGCCTTTCTTCAAATTGACTATTCGAAATTTTGTGACGACTACTACTACTACTACTTTACAGGCCCGACTATTGGAAATGGACTGACGTAAAAGATACTTGAAGAGCAAGAATATTCCTGAAAAACTATCGTTTGTGGCGAATAATAAGTCTTGCAAACTGTTGAACACATCATCAACATGGTTGACCGCTAAAGATGCTAGATGAGAAACACTCTCTGCATTCACACCGTGATTGATTGACAATTCCATTTACTGTATCGTAAAATTCGAAAACAATGCAACTTTCCGTTTCTTCTCCAACCAATTTGTTCACATACCTCTAAAGGCAATGAACAAATGAGCTATCGCTGTCATCAGTTTCTAGTTTACAAAAAAACATTCGTTTCCCTGAATATGCCATACATGATTCAAGTAATTCCTGACCAAATGTATTTTTCCAGTAGGATTGTTTTTGTTCCTTTTTCCAGTCATTTCTTCTAGGTTTTCAAGCCTATGGCCAATCAGCACTCTGCATCATTCACACAATATGTCTGGCAGGTTTGATTGCAGACACCTTATATGGCATTTTGGTAAGCCACAGAGGGAGTATGTCGGAAAATTGGTGTCATAGTTTTCTCTAGCAATGTGGTCAGTAGTTTTGATCCAGGTCGAATATGATAAGTACAATATTGGGCGTAAAAGCAAAATAATTGACCTGACCATAAGAGGCAGAGTAGAAAGAGAACATTGTCAGCTGACGTCACACCATCTGATCTGATGGAGCACTGTCAGTGACGTCATATGAAGTAAAATTGTTAGCCATTGAACAGCTGATCGTGGGACAAAGAAAACGGTGTGTGTGAATTTTCATTTTATTATTTCTGACCCATTGGTGATTTTGCTGAAATTGTAGATATTATAGGAGTAAAATGTGTATATGTTGTTGCAAATTGAATATCTATTGAGGTATATTGAAATATAATATGTATACTGAACCTGAACTAGAGTGAATCCAGTAATTTTAAATTGACAAATGAACCAATTTGAACCCTTCATTGGACTCATTCACTTTTCTCACAGTATTCATGATGAATGTCAATAAATAAATGCTCCAGGTATTGTATTAAAGTGGAAGATGTGCAATAAAGTTACATGTACCCTTAGGAAAAATGTTTATGCTTGTCCCCCGATCAGCGGTTCAATGGCTGATAATTTTATGCCATATGACGTCACTGGCCGTGCACTATTAGCTGACTGAAAAATTCGCCTGAATCTATTGTAGCGGCGCTCAAAGGGTATATCGCGATCCACCAGTCGATTGTGATTTGCAGGAACCAGAAAAAAAATCATGTTTTCATGAATCATCTGGATCAGTTTGAGATGCACAAACTCGTGTGCATTTAAACCATGGCACATCATCAATAATTGGCAATAAATCATCATTAATCTCATTGCATTGCAATTCATCAGCAGGTGATTAGTTGCAAAATACTGATTAAAAGGGTAGCCATGAATGATTGCTTTGAAGATTGATAATTCCGTACATGCCAGAAGCTTGCGACTAGGTACATACATACAGTTCGGGTCGGTTTTTAACGATTTTGACAAACAGAACCACATTTCCAGTAATTGTGCATGCTATATCCTATGAAAACTATACATACAATATGCTATGCCTATCAATCAAGAGTAAATTGAATATTCTCGGAAATGACATTTCAATTTGAACCTCATACATTTGACATGGAAATGAAATAAATCATATATCAAGAAATTGATGTCCTTTGGAAGTAAACTGGGCGTCAATTGAAACGTTAATAGTGAAATTTGGCATCAAGTTTGACTTCTCGTAATTTCTGAAATATTGAACGAATTTTGAATTGCCGCCCATATTCTGAATGCCTTTTTCATCGTCTTTCGAACCATTCCTTACAGCTCCTTCTGAGTTGATCAGGACCCGTGATACAGGGTGAAACAAAGTTTCGTGCATTTTGAGTAAAAATTCTCCGCCCCCCCCCCCCCCCATTTTGTCGGAAGACCACGATGCTCATATTTTATTCAGGCATTTCATAAATAGTAACCATACCTCGGGACATTTTCGAGTTTTTGCCAAAAACTACTGTGTTTCCGAAAATAGTTTTTTTTTTATTATTTTAAATGGACTAATTTTAGAGAAGTTCCATAAATGGATGCTTTCATGCATTTCTGGAAAGCGTTGGAGCAGATATTTATACCAGGTTACTCAAAAACAATCAATAATTTATTACTTCGCAGTCTATGATGAAAGTTTCCTACCTTAGTGAGCAGTAAATCAACACATCTCATCAACAAAAACAAACAACGATACCTTGTTTCTATAACAACGTATTGTTGTAACAATGTAGATATGCATAGAGGTTATATCAATTGCCAATTTTCATGAAAACGTCAGTGTAATTCGGGTCCTTAAAAACTTCAAAGATGCCTCGTTCAAATCGGGTCGAAATGGAAAATCATTAGGTAAGATCACTATAGTGATATAAACTATAATTCAGTACAGATAATTATTATTTCAGGCTACGACGATTAGGATATACCCAAACTCATTTAAGTACAATTTTCAATAAGTCAGTCATGACAATGAATAGACTGATTCATCGTTTTGAGTATACAGGTAATCAGTCCATTTAGAAAAAATTCAAAAAAAAAATTTTTTTTTTTTCGGAAACCACAGTAGTTTTTGGCAAAACCTCGAAAACGTCCCGAGGTATGGTTGCTATTTATGAAATGTCCGAATGAAATATGAGCAACGTGGTCTTCCGACAAAATGGGGGGGCAAAGAAATTTTCTTCAAAATGCACGAAACTTTGTTTCACCCTATATCACGGGTCCTGATCAATTTAGGAGAAGCTGTAAGGAATGGTTCGGAAGACGATGAAAAAGGCATTCAGAATATGGGCAGCAATTCAAAATTCGTTCAATATTTTAGAAATTACGAGAAGTCAAACTTGATGCCAAATTTCACTATTAACGTTTCAATTGACGCCCAGTTTAGTAGGATACATAAATCGATCACAAGCTGGCTAAATATTTCGAGGTAGAACACTAACACACTTAGTCAGAGCACTCCTGATATATGCTAATTGCATTGGTAATTGTGTTATTTCACGTTATTCTTGTTCGATCTGAATTTTGAGTGTTTATTTAGTTCAGGGCATAGATGTCTAGACATCCTGGATATAGTAATTTCCAAGATGTTCGTGGAATTCGATTAAATATCTTGAGAAAGGTTGGTTGATTTACTCAACACAACAGCACACTTATTAAGATGCACCGTTTATAAAATCAATACAAGATGTTTGTTTGAGCAACTTTTGCAAAAGTTTGCATTTCAGTTTCTCCCCTGATAGTAGGAGAGCCGGCTGCAGATTTCTACCGTCATCTGATAACGAAATGATATATTTCCCAATGGAAAGTAGAAACATTGTAGTTCATCAAACGGCATCTGTGCCAATCACTATCCTGAGCAAAATTATTCCGGACATACTTCCGTCATGTGATAACGAGTTGAAACAAAAAGCAAATAAATATCCAAACGTGCCGCGATTTAAACTGATCTGAGTTAGTGACAGAGCGTCAATCTTTTCGTATTTCGCCCTCGTCGAAAGATAATATCCGATGGACCAGTGTGAAACTCATGTGATGCTCACACTCAAAGTATTCTAATTCACATGCTGAGTTTTACACTGGTCCATCGGAAATTACCTTTAGAGGGGGGCGAAATATTCTCGGAAGTATTGACGCTCTGCCACTAACTTAGATCAGTTTGAATCGCGGCACGTTTGGATGTTATTCGCAAAGGCGACATCATCCCTTTCTATTTGCTTCTTGTTTCAAATTGTTATCACATGATGGAAGCATGTCCGGAATAATAGCAGCAAATAAATCGCTGTGCCGTGAATTTGGTTCAGACTGTGGGGTGGCACAAGTAGGTTTTTGAGATCTACCATTCAATTGGTATCGGATGACATAATTCTTATCTCGTTATTAAATCGCGAAATCGAGTGCAAATTTCCGCACAGGAATGTGCAATTTTCCAATAATTTTGCTCAGGATAGTGATTGGCACAGGTGCCGTTCGATAAACTACAATAGTTTTTTTTACCTTCGGGACATATATCATTTGCAGCCGACTCTTGGAATATGAAGCACCATAGATTTTTCACCAAATGAAATTTCTTTCTCTGCCGATGTGAAGGAAATATCAAAATACTGAAACAAAATTCCAACTTGTTCTCTCATTCAGATTGTACAGTATTACCCATAATCCGCGGAATTTCTGGAAATTGATCAATGATAAAAGAAAATCTTACCATATTCCTGATACCATGTCATTTCCTCATGATACATTATTAGCTAGACATGCTATGAAAAGCCTTAGTTGCCGTCGTGATTGTCAATCCACAGTGTTCCTTTTCAAAGTGATGAAAAACATTATCACTGACTCATACATTTTGCAGAAGCTGAGTTTCACTGTGCCTAGACACAATTCTAGAGTTTTCAATACATTCTATCTTCCGACACCACAAACAAATATTTTGAAATATTCTCCTCTCCATAACATGTGTTCTTTATACAATAATTCATCAAATAATCAGCCAGATATCTTTCATTGCTCTATCTCTGTGATTAAATCTTTTTATTTCAGCTAAGATCTTGCCTATATTCATATACTTTTCAAAATATGACAAACTGTATTATTAGTTATACTTATTTCCCTGTTCTGTAGTTGGGTTTGACCTGTAGAACAGTGTAACTTGAATCAATAAATAAATCAAATAAATAAATTAGATGTAACTGCCAGTAATGGCCTTGAGATAACTAATCTTTTTGCTGATTATTTCAGAACACTATACAGTGAGAACCCAAACCCTACGCCTAATAAGCACTTTGACAATCAGTTTGAAATTAATTTCAGAAATATTACTGTTTCTGAAATTTTTCAGAAAATAATGAAAATTCCCAACTATGTTCTGAAACGCTGTGTATGCACCATTACAAAACCAGTACAAATTCTATTCAATGAATCTATTAATTCTGGCATATTTCCTTCCATATGAATGAACAGTTTTATAACTCAACATACAAAAAATTATCGAGGTATATCCAACCAATCAGCAATCCAAAAACTCTTTGAAAGTCTGGTCAATGATCAACTGCAGTGGGAATACAAAAATATTATCACCAGTAATAAATTTACAATCACTAACCTAACAATTTATGAAATGGACCAGATAAATGCTTTGGAAAATAAATTACAAGTCAACGCAGTCTATACAGACTTTTCCACATTCTATTTTCATTAATAATAATAATAGCATGATGAACCAAAAAATGTCATCGTATAGCAGGGAAAATGTAGCAATTTAAATATGCTCCCAATTTTGATACTCTCCAATAAATAACGCCAGAAAAAATTTAAATGATTTACCAACAATTTTTGTTTTTCTCGTATATCTCTGGAAATACCATCTTCATCTCCTATAGTCTCAGAGATAGCTTATTCTTCAGACCTTTTCTATTCAACATAATGTACTTACCCTCATACACCTGTGCCTTTGTATCCTTATTTCGTCGACGACAGTTCGTACAGCCAGAGATAGAGGATTGTCCAATTCCGGCAGACCAATTCTGTCCACGTCAACTTGGATGGCAGACGGGGCACCAAACACCTTCTGGGTGAATTCCGGACTGACGCCCAGGCCGAACCACAAGAACATGTGGATACCATTTTCTGAATTGAAAAACAAGTTTTCAAAGAATTTACAAAATAACAAAACTCTACACTTTTTCCAGTTGTATGTCAGGATAGTCACTTGTATTTCTGAAAGTATCAATTGTATTTTAGAAAGTATCAATTGTATTTCAGGAAGGGTCAATTGTAATTCAGAGAGCGTCGATTGTATTTCAGAAAATATCATTTGAAATATAAATGACGCTTTCTGAAATTCAATTGACTATTCCGAGACAATTAACGCTTTCTGGAAATCAATTGACTATTCTGAAATACAATTGATACTTTCAGTAATATAAGTGACTATTCTGAAATACAATTGACGTTTTCTGAAATTTGGTGTTCTTTGGTTTTCCTTGTGCCCAGTGTTCCTTTGAAACATCTTGGCTTGTGCCTTCCTTTCATATTTGGGTTGGTGTCTGAAACTCCTTTATACTACTTTGTAATATTTTGATCGACCCTTCTGGTCACATGCTACTTATATCTACTTTCCTTTACTCATTTGCAATTGCATCACCTTTTATATCAAGTGATACATTGTCTTCGTGCATATTATAGTGCCTTTTATATTTAGGGTTTTCGACTTTCTGCTCAACCACATGATTTTAGTGGAATTTGCAGCAAATAAATAATAGTATTCTGAACCATCAGCGTTTGAATCAGCAAACCTACCGAACCCTTGAGACCGTTACACTGTCAAGATATCAATATCAGAGGTCCATGACATTCCTATAAAAAATGCCTTTAGACAACACGTTTTGACTAAACCACTGAAACTTATGGAAAAATTCTTAAAAAATATGAAATTGAAAGGTATTTGAGTGATGACTCTATTTAAGAAATAAAAAAAGTGTCCACTCCCCTATTCACCCACAATAGTTCAAGTATACATTCGGGCTTGCTCATTATTTGTGACTATGTATGGAAAGTAGTATTGATCAAGATAAAGATAAAGATAAGACATCCACAATTCTAACACATTATAGAATATGCACCCCTCATCATCTTGATGGTACTCTAGCTAGATGGTCCCCAAAGCATTGTCAAGTAAAACAATTAAAATATTCATTAATTTACTACCCCAATTTAAAAAAATTGGAAAATTACAGATTTATTTATTGTCTATAGTTTTCAAGTGATCAGTTAATCAGAAAATTATGTAAATCTCTGGTAGAAGTCCATGTTTGCTCAAAGTAGAGTGTTTTTTTTTTTAAGGAGGAAGGAAAGCTCAAAGTCATCTCCACAACTTTGATAATGATGTAGTCAATCAAAGGGACATGTTTCGGACTTATAAAAGTCCATCTTCAGCCGTATTTTAGAAGTTACTACAAGCAAAGGCATGTGAAAATATACATATTATACGATATTATAATAATAATAATAATAATAAGTTTATTCAAAAACGTTTACAAAATATACATTGGAATAAACATAAAGGTAATTTGAATAAACTGGGAAAAACCTTACGAAGTTAACCTTGTAGTAAGGATAAAAAATAAATAAATGATGACAGACATCGGCATCCATTCAAACACATATAATGTTCACCTCCATATAAGACAATTTTTGGTTTTATAACAATATGTTTATTTTCACATGACTTTGGTTGTAGTAACTCCTAAAATACGGCTGAAGATGGACTTTTATAAGTCCGATACATGTCCCTTCGATTGACTACATCATTATTAAAGTTGCGAATATGACTTTGAGCTTTCCTTCCTCCTTTTTAGAAAATTATGTGTTTATAACGCGTGTATCAAGTTGAATACTCTATCGTTATACAAGCTTTCTGGCGCATTCAATACCAAACATGTGTGTGTACACAATAGGAAAAATTCTGAAGTATTTCTAAATTGTTGTTGTTGAAGTATATACCATGATATAGTACTATTCGGCATTTAAGATAAGCATTCTTCTACTATGTAGGATACAGCAATATCAACACCAATCAACGACCACTAGATTGTACTCACCCAGAATATAAACTCCCTGCTCGCTCATCTTCTCCATCGTCGACCTGACCGGCGCCGGCACCTCGACCGGCACCCTCGCCGCATCCAGATCGTGCACCGGTATCAGCCGCGGATAGAAGTGGTGCACCGACGTTACCACGTCCATCGTCATCACTGCCTGCATGGCGAACGACCGGTCGTCGATCGTCAGCTCGGCGCCACCCGAAAGCGCGTCGCTCTTGAGCAGACAGTTGACGTAGAGGGGGAGGAGCTTCATGCACTCGGGCAGAATGAGCTGCCCGGCGCTGCTAGGGCTGGCGCAGTTCTTGCGGTAGGTCGCCAGGATTTGAGCCGCCCTAGAATTATCGCCATTTAATCAAGATTATTTTAAGATTCAGACATTTCAGAATATTTCAGAGCATTCTGAATCATGTTAGAAAAAAAATCTATGTCCTTGTTCGAACATGATACCGTTAAAAGAAAATATGCAAGATTTAGACAATTGATGCTTCTGTCAGATGAGTCAACATATCATCCCGCGCTTTCAAGTTATACAGATACTTTGTATGTTGTATGTCATTTACGTTAACGATTGAAACTTGCTCTCCTACCGAATTATCATTAGGTTATTGTGTACCAATCTCCCGGAGAACACAACAATCCTTGAAAATTCCGGGAAAACCTTGAACATCTGGAAGATTCTTTAATATTCTGAGGAATTTTAGGACATTCTCAAAACTCCTGGAAGATTTTATCACGTTCACAAACATTCTAGAACCTTCAAGTACCTTCTGAATGATTTTATATTGACATTTTTTGGAGCTGATAGATAATAATCCAGAGCGAATACAAAAAATATTTCCAAATATCTTAATCTCGTTCTTGTTTCAATTTTGTTCAACAAAAAAACAATCAAGTCAGCTTATATTGACCAACACATAGTCATCACGGCCTGCAATGACCGGTCGTCGATCGTCAGCTCGGCGCCACCCGAAAGCGCATCGCTCTTGAGCAGACAGTTGACAGTATTTTATGTTAACGATTGAAACTTGCTCTCCTACCAAAACATCATCAAGTTATTGTCTACCCCAATCACCTGTCATTCCCGAAACATCTGGAAGATTCTATATTATTCTGAGGAATTTCAGGACATTCTCAATACTCTTGGAATATTCTATCATGTTCAATCAAGTCAGCTTATATTGACCAAGACTTCATCATCACCGCCTGCATGGCGAACGACCGGTCGTCGATCGTCAGCTCGGCGCCGCCCGAAAGCGCGTCGCTCTTGAGCAGACAGTCGACGTAGCGCTGTTTATCCGACGTAGCGCTGTTTATCAAGTTTCTTCGAAGTTTCTGAGTTATGTGGGATATTCTAAAATATTCTAGATCATTCTTGGAAAATCCTTGAATCCCTGGAAGCTTTCATCATATTTTGTGAAATGTTTCATCATTCTGGAACTCCAGATTCTATAACATTCTGGAACATTACACAACCTTCTGAGAGTTCTATAATATATTTCGGTCCTGATTGATAATAATTTATAGAGAAAATTAATTTGACCATGGTCCTTCTGCTCATGGCTTCGATCAATGATACATCATTTCATGGTGATTTCCTATAACTCATGACTACTGACAAAAAAATATTACAGTAAATAAACATTAAAATAAATAACTACTGAAACAATGAGAAAGCTATACAGAGAAGTGCACAAAAAACGGCCAGGACTGTAACTTTTGAATCATTCGAGATAGGGTTCTGAAAATTGGTGGGCAGCTATTATACCAAATTGCTCATTATTTGACGAAACAATTTTTGTTTCATCACTTCTGGTTTTCCTGGAAACGATCCCAACTTTTGATTTTCAAATGGAACACCCTGTATTGTATTGTATAATCGGCTAGGGTTTGTCATAACGAATTCATCGATACCGGGTTTGATAGGGTTATTTCAAACGATTACGCAGATATTCGCGTTCTAAGTTTCCATATGCTCAATGAGTGTGACAGAGAAAGAAGTTTTGATATTGCGAAGTCACACCCATTGAGCCTATGGAAACTTCGAACGCAAATATCTTTGTAATTGTTTGAAATGACCCTATCAAATCCGGTATCGTTGAATTGGTCATGATAATCCCTAACCGATTATGGAATACAATACAGGGTGTCCCATTTTAAAGTCAAAAGTTGGGTTCGTTTCCGGTGAAACTGAAAGTGATAGAAGAAAAATTGTTTCATCAATTAATGAGAAATTTGGTATACTTGCTACCCACCAATTTTCAAAACCCTTTATCTAGAATTATTCAAGTTACAATCCGTTTTTTGTGCACTTCTCTGTATATTGAAATTATGAGCAAACTCAGTAGGTAGCAGTGGCAAGGCGTCCTATTTTCTCCAGGGTAGTTTCTTCTGGGTACTTGTGAGAGTTGAAAATATTGGGATCACTTGTGAAATATAATCTTCTCACTATTTCCAAGTTCTTATCTTTTCGAAAAAATCTTTTCGCCAGGGCCAAAGATCTATCCTCTATTGGAGGAATGTTCAAGGTCTGGAATAATACATTGGTTGGGAAGGATGGGTGCTGTAGGGAATTATGGGGATGGCGAAATATTTTTCGCATAGCTGTTGTTTCTGCTACTTTGAATTTATTTATTTATTTTATTTATTTATTGAAAATGTTACTTCCAGTCAGAATCAAGTTCTGGTATAAGGAAGTATAGTTAACAATAATATCTAAAACTATACAATTATAATAAACTGATGAATAATAAAATATTTGAAAACATTAATTATTAAATTTTGACAAATAATTTCATATTGGTGAGCAAAAATCAATTTGAATATGAATCAAAAGTTGAAAAAAAAAAAAAAAAAAAAGTCATCTATTTCGTTCAGAAATGATAAATTTTTTAAGATGGTATTTGAAATTTGTTGTATCAATCTTTTATTTATGATATTGTATGTAATTTTCAGTCTTTCGATTTTGAACATTTCTTCTAATGAGAATGATTCAGTTATTTTATATAATTGATTTGTTGGTGTATCATATGGTAAACGATACAGTACTTTCAATGTCTTTTTATATAATGCTGATATTTTATTAAAATTGTTTTTTGAACAGTATCCCCAAACATTTATCAAATAGTTAATACGACTGAGTATATGAGAATATAGAATTATATTTGCAACTTTTTTATTCAGCTTGGGACATCTTCTCAGGGCTCCAATAATAGGAGATATTTTTTTCTTCAAAACATTTATATGTTTGTCCCACTTCAATTTATCATCAAACCAAATCCCAAGATACTTTTTCTCATTAGTTCGTTTCAAAGATTCATTTTTAATTCTGAGATTTAAATTTATATTTTGTTTATTTTTTTGTTGAAAAATCATATATTCAGTTTTATCAGTATTTATTGATAAGAGGTTTGAATGCAGCCAATTTTCAAATTTCATCAAGTCTCTGTTTATTATATTTTCTAAAATGATAGGATTTTTATTTTCATATAAAAGTACCGTATCGTCTGCATAAATAGTGTAATTACATTCTGTATCAATTTTCGTGATATTTTGAATATATAATAAATATAAAATTGGTCCTAAAACAGATCCTTGAGGGACACCTTTAGTCATCGGTAGTCTATGAGACTCTGAGTTGGTAGATTTGGTACTGATTGTCCTATTTTGAAGATACGAATCTAAAAGGTTCCTTATCATGCCTCTGAGTCCCATTGATTCTAAATTTTCCAAAAGTGTTATGTGGTCTACTGTATCGAAAGCTTTCTTGAGATCAACAAAAATTGCAGTTCAGATATATGATGCTTCCATTATTCTATCATAGATCGACATATTTTTTTGTGTGTATTTTAATCTTGAAGACGATTTACTTATTCATTTATACCTTTATTGTCGTATTTCAATAGTTCCTTCCAGGAAAATATAATATGATAGTGACACAAGTTTGTGGTTTTGCAGATACTCTGAAGATGTGTGCCTGGATGTCAGACAAGTTTTCTGAAAACGAATTCATGAAAGAATTTCCGTGAATCAAAGCTAATTCCACTGCAAAATTCGTTCTCAAGAGAATTGAGTTTCTGTGTGAACTGAACTGCTTCACACCAGTCAAATGAAAAAATACCATATCAATTTAATGTTAAAAAAAACTCATAAAACTTGGAATTCAAGAAATATACCTGCTCACTATGGCATCTTTGACAGCCTTCGGATTATTGTCTAAAAGTTTATAGACCGATTGCTTGGCTATGTAATTCACTAGTGTGTCCAAATCGCAGCTTCGATAGAGATCGGCCATTTGAGAGCAAGTCTTCAGAGAAAGATTTATGATTCTCAGCCTCCTCTGACCGGAACAGGATGTATACAATAGAGCTGCTTGGATGTAAACTCCTGCTTCTTCTGCCAGCTTGTCGTCGTGTTTTATTTCCACTGCAATCGCCTTATCACAATCTGTAAAAATTACCACTCTTTTTTTTTCAATCATGCGATTCACTGAAAAAATTCCAGAGTAACATAGACAAAGCTCTGAAAGAAATAAAAAATTGGTGCCTTGAAAATCGGCTCATCCTGAATACTTCAAGACAGTAAACATCATCCCATGATCAAGAAAGCTCCAGAAAATGTCAGTAGTGATATAAAATTTAGTGATAGTGTCACTCTACTTGGTACATGGCACGATTCAAATCTCAGTTTCTCCTCTCATATTGACTATGTTTCTAAGCAACTGAATAAGGCATACTATGCATTTCCTCAAATGAAACCAATTTGGACATAAAAAGACTGTTGAACTCATACTATGCATTTGCACATAGCCACTTGCAGTGTAAACACTGTAGGGTCTTGCTTTTTGCAGATGATATGAAACTATTTTCAAAAATGGATAACTTGGAAGATGCTATGAAGTTGCAAGAAGATTTAGATAATGTCTTTCAATGGTCGCATACAAATCATTCACCTTTCAATGTTCAAAAATGTAAAGTAATTACATTTAGCTACAAAAAACAAACCACTGAATTCAACTATAAGATGAACACAATTGATTTAGTTACAGAACATTCTGTGAAAGACTTGGGCATCATTCTTGACCAAAAATTATCATTCAGTGACCATATAACAAGTATAACACGAACATCCTATAGGAATCTTGGCTTTGTTATTCGGATTTCCAGAAAATTCAAGTCAGAAAAGACGCTTAAAGTTCTTTACAACAGTTTTGTACGGGCAAAATTAGACTATTGCAGTATAGTTTGGTCTCCTTTATATACGAAGTATATACAAATGCTTGAAAAAGTTCAGAAAAAGTTCATAAGACAAGCAGATTTTATTATAAAAAGTGTCCATATATCAAATTATCCCTCAAATCTCAATAAATATAATTTAATGTCCTTATTCAATAGAAGAGTGTACTTCACCCTGATGTATCTATACAAAATATACAACAATATGGCGCAAGACTCTACTACTCTTCCATCTGTAAAGTTACAAATACAAAACTCAAGAACTCGGGCAAGTAATAACAAAACATTTGCAGTGACTACATCTCGGACGAATTACCAACTGAAATCTCCACATGTAAATATGACTATATTCTATAACGAAAATCAAACGTTTTGTGACATATTTCGAGTAAGTGTAATTACATTCGGAAATCAAATAAAAAATAAATTATCACAAAATAGTGAAACTGTACTAATTCAGTAATTATTCTTATTTGGTTAATACTTTGTATATATTATTAGATTTAAGTTAGATTTTAGTCAGGTTGTTTGGAGTAGTACTGTATTTTTTGAAAAAACAGTATCTTTACTGTGATGATGCAGAAAATAAAGTACTACTTCAATCAACCATTCATACACACACAACATGTAATAGGGGTAAAACCTGTTTGTTGGAATGAATAAATAAATAAAACATTGCAACATGTGGTCTATCAACGCCGCACATGAGTCTTCACTACACAAAAAATAATTGCCAGACTACCATTTGAGTTGGATTTCCGAAAGTCATGTAGATCAGTGTTTGAAGAGCTATTCTAACTCTATTTTAACTTTCTATTCAATTTTTATCTTATGTGAAAGCCAACATTTCCGATTTTAACGTTCTGGGAAATAATCATTGCTACCCATAGAACAAGTGGTATGTAAAAAACTTGACAAACAATAAGATTTCCACAAAAATTCTCAATAGCACATGTTTCGAGTAAAATACTCCTACATTGAACTAAACTTACATTGACTTGCTCAACTTTTATATCATACTTTCCAAACCTTAAAGATTAATATTACCTGTGGAAAGGTTAAGTAAACCTTGTTTTCGGAAAGTGACATCAATTATCTTCATTAAATTAGGTGTACCTACCGGATCAACTTGAAAATGAAACAAATTCAAATGCGGTGAATTATTGGGGTCTAGTTGATCGCTAAGTAAAATGTTTGAATTATGCATTTGTTGATTTCTATTGATTCCAAATTTAGTTTTATTCCTCTATTTTCTACCAGTGAAATTTCGAAACTATCATAAAAACTATGGTTTTCTTCTAATATATGGTTCACTTACGACCAGTCTGACCGATACCTTAGGATAAGATCCACAGTTAAGTTTTTATACCCCTGATTTTTTCGATAAAAAACTCCATTTTGGATATACGGAAACAAACCCTGTATAATTGCATATCTCTGTATAAGAATTTACCAAAACACTTGAAATATTTCAAAAGCAGTTCAATGTAAATTATTAATTAGGGGGGCTAAGGGTTGATGACACCATAAAAGGGGGTAACAACTTCTTCCGGATATTTATTCAACTCACCAATTGAAGCTAATTCGATATCTGTCGTATTCGACATATAAAAATGTCCATAGAAATCGGTCGGTCGTACTCCGGTGGAGGTCCTTACTCTCATGATCCCATCGAAGGCTATCGGTCTACTCACATCTGTGATGATATCGTTGATTAGGCGTTCGCCATCAATGTCGGCCTAAGAAGTAGATTCAAGTCAATAAAATGATCAGTTCATAGTAGTGCGGTGAATGCCATCCAATGACTCTAGTGTGCTGTACAGTCTATGACCATAACCAATAAAAAGGGTGAATGACATGACGTCACACCTACTATTGATGAGTGCTATTTTGTCCAGGATTGCGACGATTTGGATAAAATGATTCAAATCACGATTTGATTTAAATCAAATTAAATATAGCTGTAAAAACAAGTCGGCGAAGCAGATAACTCATCAGGATATTCAAGAAAATTCATATAGCTTATTTATTATTTATAATTACATACATTATGAAAGTGTAAAACAGAATGTTGAGCGCACTCACCATGCATCTGATTATTTTTGTCTGCATTATAAAAACCCTATAGGCATGACTTGAGTTTCCCCAAAAAATCAGACCATAAGTTATGATGGATTGCACTAACCCATGATAGGCCAGTTTGAGCACATTCAGAGAAACTGTATTCCTCAGTTGCCTGATAACAAAACAAACACAGCTCAATCTTTATACTATATTGTCTACATGCGGTTCCCATGTCAGCTTTTGATCCACGATGACACTCAAGAATTTCGTTTCACAATCATTTGATTTTTTAACAGATGCTTCCAGATCGTTTTCGGCTAACAGTTGATTTGTGTCATCAGCATAAATTACCATTTTGTTTGGAGTAGTACAAGAATATAAGATATCATTCATGAAAATAACAAAAAACAGGGGACCTAAGATCGATCCTTGAGGAACTCCCATTGTAACTGGCATAGAATTAGATTCCATAGAATCCAACATGACTTTCTGCGACTGGTTGGTCAAGATGTACCAATGAGCAAGGGAAATATGAAACCGAAAACACAGCATATTCGAGTATCTAACAGCCAATATGCAGCCAAAAAACAAAAACATAATGTTTTCGATTATCAACACATATATTTCAACCAATTAAAAACGTGTGCTTCAAAATGAGTTTAATAATAATAATAATTAAAGAGACTTATTGGCTACCCAAAGGACTACCGACTGAGATCCTTCAGCCTGTGTTACACAGTGATTATACATTGAGTTTGAATTCATCATTATTGTATGTACAAGATATATGGAATTATTAAATTTGATAGTGTAAAAAAAAAGAAAAGTCTATTGTGAGGCAAGAATTTTGAAGGAATTTCAGTCTTCTGAATTGATCAACCATTCCAATAGTGTGTTTTCCGGAAACTTCCGTCTTGGATCTCTCTTTAAACACTGGAATTAGATAATTTGGAGATTGGACTCGTTTTTGGATAACAACAATGTCAGCTTTCTCAGTCTCTCAGAAACTGGTTGCACCCTGGTCAGCCGATATAGAAGTTGGTTTGATGGATGGTGAAGGAGATTTTGAGGGTGCCGGATTTTGGTAATGGCTCTCAGGAGCTCTTTCTGCTACTTCCAAATTGTTCAGTGCCGTCTTCCTCGTGTTTATGTATATTGGGTGACCATACCCAAGAATTGGGCGGCAAATGGTTTTGTAAATATGTGCTGCAGTTCTTTTGCTAATTCCTTTATTCTTGTAGGTTAGGCTTCGAAAATGTTCAGCTCTTGTGATGCACTTTTTTTTTCTTCAACTGGGTATGATGGTAAAAGTTTAGTTCTTGATCTAAGTGCACTCCCAGATATTCAACTAATGCCCTAGTCCTCACTACATGATTGTTATTGAAGAGATTGGGATTTTTCTGGATTTGGTTTTAGCCTCCACTTGTCACACCATCTCATAGTGTTCCGAATTGCGTTTTGAAACTTTTCAACTGATTTTTCAAGTGATTTATAATGACTTATAATGGCTGTATCATCAGCAAATTGTAGGCCATAGATGAATGTGTTTTGATTTTGTAGATTTTGATTGATCCAATTGACTATGTCGAAACAGTATATATTGTAGAGAAATGGAGACAAGGGTGAGCCCTGAGGGAGTCCTTGATGCGGGCGGAAAATTATTGATTGTGCCTGATGTACTTTTATTTGCAGGGACCTTTCGTCTAGGTAATCCTTAACCCATTAGATACTAGCGTTCCATATAAGGAACACATAAACGTACAAGCTCTGAGCGCGTCCAAATTTATTTACAGTAGCAGAATTTTCCCCAGGCAAATATTTTCATGTCCTATAACACCTACATCTACCACTGAGTCATACTCAGCTACTTGATAATACCTCTAGCTCGATTCAGATTATTACATGACCATTGTTTTTACTGTAAACGTGTGAAATCTCGCGCCGTGAAGTGTAAGTACATATATTTGTCGAATATTTCAAATGTGATTATGAATGACTGATGTTTCAAACAGTTTATAACATACTTATTGTGTTGTCTGTAATAAACAATGGAAATTATATTTTATATCTGATTAGATTTTGTGTTTTTCATCGTGTTCCTTATATGGAACACTAGGCTTTTAGGATGCTGAATGTGTTCTTAGTTTGTCAGTCCGAGACATTCATTCAACGTATTGATGACCAACCAGAAGACAAAACATGTGTGTCATATGAATTTTATTTCGATAATTCATGCACTTCTGTGAAATTTCTCCAACTTCTGATGCAAAGGCACTATGATGGTTCTGGCACAGAGCAAGAAAATAGGATTTCTCGTTATTGTCCAATTACTGAGGATGATAAATGAAGAGAAAAAACTTGGTGAATTTGATTTCGACTTATGTTCTACGGTGATGCATCAATTGTGGTTGCTAGATAGAAGGAAAATTCAGTTGTAACTGTTGCATCGACCATACACTCAGTTTATTCTTCTCTAACGCTCAAAAAACGGAATGGACTCTCTGCATACAAAAGTACAATGAGTACATAGGAGGAACAGACTAGATGGACGCGAATATAAATGTCTACATTATTGCTATGTAAAGTTGATAATTTTGCTAGCCAATTTTCACCTGGCTACATTTCTCCAGGAAATTTATCAGTTGAGTTTCAGAAGAGATAGCCCTCCTGAAGAAGTTCCACAATTTAACGAAGTCGTCGGCAAGACCACCAACATATTCAACAAATTCCAAAATAATTCCAGATATTCGCATTGACTGTAGAAATCACCATGTTGAACATGTGCCGAATAAAAAACGCCGACGACGTCTAGGACAATCAAATGCGACGTATGTCTATTTATTGACTATTTAATTTATTTTCATACGAATTAACCTCATTCATTTTGGAATTATGGAAATATAATACATTTCAAGCTGGAGACAAGTCTCAATATTTCATTCCATTTTCCACATGTTGAAGGACTAGTGTTCCATATATGGCACTGCCGCCATTTTGAAAATGGCAGACAAAAGGGAATGTATCTCGATTAACTGATGTTCATAATATACTATTAAGCAGGAATAAAGAAAATATGTTGAAATTTTCGCAAATGTAATAATTCAGTCCCTAATGGGTTAATTAAGTTTACCTGGAAGTAAGTGTACTTGAAGACCTCTCCGCCCGTCAGCCTGGCCACCTGCCCGATAGTGGCCACATCGATGTAGGAGTTGTTGAAGACGAAGAGATCGACCGAGCATCCGGCGCCGACCGCCTCCTGGCCCAGCTGGTTGTACGCCTGCGACTGCGGCGTCAGCACCGCTTTCTCCTTGTCGGTGCCGAGGAGTTTCCTGTCGTCGCGGTTCTTGAGCTTGCCGGGCGCCTCTGCCGAAGGTAGGGTCGAGGTGAATACTAGGAGTTTGCCGGCGCAGTCGGAAGCCTGGAATCGGGAGGAATCAATCAATCGTTCAGTTTTTTCATATAAGTGCTCAAAGAAACAAGTGGACCACTGAAATTTTCGACAATTTTCAAACTGCCATAACTTTTTGAAAAATTAATAGATTTTCAATCGGAATGCAGTGTATGGAAGATGCGATCATTCTGTTCAAGATTCCTTGTTCAAAACTCGTCGGGAGTTTTTTTGTCATTATCCACCATAAACATTTTTTTCGAACGTTCAAGCCAATATCTCGAAACGGTTTTGTAATTTTCCATATTCCTCATACAGGATGTTGAAAATCGATAATTTTTCATTTTTGGGTTTTTATCACATTTCTGATTTTAAAATTATACAAGCCACATTCAACGAATTTTGCAAGTCTATACGATGAAAAACATCCTAGAAAATGGATTCATATAGCGTTGAAATCATGGACAACTTTAACAGAAGAATTTTTTTTTTTTTAGAAATGTTTAGAATTTGGTGAAATCGTCTGTTCAGTTTGGTGCTGCCATAACCATATGCTATGCTAAACACAAATCCTTCATTTGGATCAATTGCTCTGCTCAGTATCGCGAATTGATTTCGTGAATTTTCAGATAAGGCAAGGAGGCCTTTCTAGATTTTTCTGAACAATTCATACAATAACGATGCAGTACTGGTTGTAAGATATTCCTGAGCTGACATGGAGTCAAGAAACCTATTTATCGAAAATCAATCAAATAAGTCGATTCCTTGAATAATCAACACGCATTTATGCAATTAATACCACTGCAAAACCCAATATAATGCTTCCTGTCCAACCGATGATGACAGTTGTCGAAGGTTCGAATTTTTCCCCAGAACAGGTGAGGTTTCTTTTACTTTCATTATTTGAATACTTTGCCTGCCGTGGTTTTTTGTCTTTCTTATTGTAGTACTTCCTGTAACAATTCTGCTGATGATGAAGCTTTGAAGCTTCAAAACATGTCCCAATTTTCAGATTAAATAAAGTATAGTTTTGGTGAAGTTGACTGTAAGATTTTCTTCCTGTCCTATTATCTTCACTCCACTGCAAGATGGATCGACTCATATGGTAGATTATAAAATGAAAATACCAAATATCTAATCCAACATCAGGTGGGCACTTCGATGGCGCAAATTCATTACAACATGAGAGATACCCTTCAGAATTTTTGCTATTTAGTGACTTGACTACAAATGGCATTCACGTTTTAGTCTTCTAAACAATCAAAATTGAGAAGCCACGAGCCGATTCGATATGGATACAAAACTTTTGTGGAGACATAAATGAATAAAATGATTGGACCTGTTGTATGAAAATTCGTCGTCATAACAACGGAATGAACGACGAACAGATTTTTTCTGCGTTTTCTCAGTTTTACTATTTATAAAAGGGTGTTATCTCAGTTTTTCGAACTACTATTTATTATTATCCATTTGTCATTCATTTCTGCATGAGACACCCTTCAGAATTTTTGCTATTTAGTGACTTAACTACGAATGGCATTCACGTTTTAGCCTTCTGAACAACCAAAATTAAGAAGCCACTTTAGTGGAGACATAAATTAATAGAATGATTGGACCTGTTTTATGGAAATGGCGAAGAAAAAATCAATTCGTCGTCATAACAATGGAATGAACGGCGGCGAACAGATTTTTTCTTCGTTTTCTAAGTTTTACTATTTATAAAGGGGTGTTAAAAGTCACCTACTTTCAATGCTTCCAGTCCAGCCTGGATGGCCGGCAGCAAGACAACCTCCGTCTCTCTCGTATCACCGAACATCGCCGGTATCTGCTCCATGAGCGCATCGATGACGGCTCCCGATTCCTCCGGGGTGCACAGGAAGCCCTCCAGGAGGGGCATGAACATTTCGTGCACGTCTCCCACCACCATCATTTGGGGGGCGGCCAGCGTACCCTGGCACAGAAGAAAGGGATAACGTCAGGAGGAGTTGCACCACCAGTACCGTCTAGTCGAATTTTATCGTCAAATTTCAGTGCGTCATTTCTTGTGGTATTTTAGGAAACACAGTTCATATAAACATATGTCCTAACAGAGTACCAGATTTTTATTAGATTGAACTATTGAAATAGCAACTATCTTATTTCCAATCAATATTCTACAATAGAATAAATTTATATAATAATGAACTTAAAGATATTGATGATGGAGCAAGATTTAAAATTAATATGAAAAAGTATGTACTATAAACGGAGAAATCTATCCTAACATGGATAATTGAATTGATTTTGTTTTAATTATTTTTAGATTGTTTTTCTTTCTCTTGTTATGAATATACATATGTTTATATATATATAAAGAACAACAACAACAAGAAACATTCGATTTGACTCCAAAGTTTAATGTAGGTGTTTTTGAGACATCCATTGAGATTACTCATTAGCCCCAATAAGAATCAATTTAGATTTTGGGACTTTGTCAAGTCTCCAACAATACTGAATTTTTTTATCATAAAGAATTATAGTGAGTTGTAAATAAAAGCATTCAATACTTCCAACTTCAACATCCTGTTTCTCAAAAAAAAAGCCATAAGTTAGGATACATGTTTATATTTCCTAAAATAACACAAGGAACCACCCCCTGAAGTTTGTGACAATTATTGAGAAACACCCTGTATATCTTTTTCGTGAATAAATAACAATGTTAATTGTGATGATACAAGATACCAGATTCGGTGTTCTAGATATAAATGAATTGCTTAAACCACAAGTAAAACACTCGAATTTTCAACAATGTTCAAGAATGTATAATAAAAATCAACCCAAAATTAAATGTTAGTGCATCTGAAAGCTGCATTCTTTCTGTATCTTCATTACTCAAAACTAAGAGTTCTTAGTACACATCAAGCATTCAGATTTTTTCAAATTAACAAAAACTTTAGATCTCAGGGTTTCACAAGATTTTTCTTTTCATTTTTCACCAATTTCCAAGAGATCTTGATATCATTTGGGCACTTTCTTTTATTCTGATACAGAGTGAGTTAATAATTTTAAAAAATCAGATTCAGATTTTGATTTTGCTGAAATCAACTGAATGTCACTTCCAATTCTGTTATTTCAGCAGACATGTTGCATTCTTCCTTGCATTTCAAATTTCTTTTTACTCCTGCTTTGGTAATTTCCTTTGAAGTATTTATTCACTCAATACTTCAATGTCATTGATAAACGAACGGAAATAAATATCTCAATGTTCTATTAAACTATTTTTATATCAGTGGTAGAAGAAATTCAGAATAACATTCAGGGAAAATCAGCAAATGAGCAAACTGAATTGATTGGCAACTTGTAGAGAACTTATCTATCAAAAGGTCCCTGAAAATATTCCTCACCTTAATGTTATAAAAATGCACAGAGCTATTGTACGTGATGAACCCGACTCGCATGTTGCTCTTTTCCTGTCCCTGGTCCACCGGCAGATTGCTCACGATCTCCCTCATCTGCGAGCAAAGCAGGCTCACCATGCCCGATTTGACGCTGTTATACGACACGTCAATCACGAAAATGATGGCAGGCGGTTTGGGTAATGCGTTGTTTCGGCAATAGTCCGCCGTGGCAACAAACTCGTAAGTTCCTAACACTAGCTCTGGACGCTCGTAACGGTCCATCCTTTGACCGGTGTGATCGAGATGTTGGAAATACTCCGTAGGTACTGAGGAACATCGAATAATTCAGATATTTTCACTTGTTCTGCGGACGGTCTGATGTAAGAAGCGTACAAGTATTAAAAAGAGAGGATTTCGGGATCCTAGTTCTAGTTGTGTAAAAGTGGCTCAGCCAATGCTTTGTGTTTTCGAGAACCTATGACAACTTTACTGTCAACATTAGGTGAACAATCATTTCCGATTGCCCGTTTTATGCAGAATAGGATGACGTTGATTTCTCTCTGTAATATACTTGTACGCTTTTTTTTAAGCGACTGTACAATAACTTGAAGTATTTGAAAATCACAGAAAGTCTTTGCAACTTTCTGCAAATATTTATGGAATCAAGTTTTAACATTGTTTGTGTGTCTTCAAGTGTATAAAGATGACATTAAATATTCACAAGTTCTGTGAATTATTAAATGTATTCGGCAGCTTCTGCAAGTCTGTGCATGTCTATCACGAAAACGATGGCACGGGGCGAACTCGTAAGTTCCTAACACCAGCTCTGGACGCTCGTAACGGTCCATCGTTTGACCGGTGTTATCGAGATGTTGGAAATAATCCGTAGGAACTGAGGAAAATTGAATGAATTCAGACATTTTCACTTATACTCCGGAAAGTCTGATGTAAAATATGCAATAAGTATTTGAAGGTCATATAAAGGCTTTGCAACTTTCTGCAAATATTCATCAAATCAAGTTTTTACACTGTTTGATAGTCTTTTCAAGTTCAAGTCAGCATCGAATATTCAAAAGTTCAGTACTCTGTGAGTGATAAATTGCATTTGGTAGCCTTTGCAATTCTGTGTAGGTTGTTTGAAAGTTTTATAATCCCATATTCAGATTACAGATGTAAACGTCTTATATATGTAACATGATGTCTTGACATCATAAATACGTCTCTAAAAGCAACCTGAGGAGTCCTCGGGAGTTTCATACAAATTTTTGCATGAGTTTGAAATTTCAGCACTCCTGCATTTTTCAAAGTATTTGGTAGTATTATAGTATTAACTTAGCACGTTTTTGGAAGTATTCGTGAGTCTTCAATAGGTTTTGGACGTCTATGAATGTTTTTGAATTTGGATGCAGAACCATGAATAAGTTCGAAGTACTTGGATATCACTGACATTCTCTAAAAGTCAATGGAAGTCTAGATCTTGGAATGTTTTCACAAGTTTGGAATCAACGGAAGTAAAAAGTGTTTGTGAATGGTCAAAAGTTCAAGTTTTTGGGAGGAAAAAACAATATAAAAGTATAAACTCCTAAATTAATTTTGTGCACAAAAGAATATCAATCTAAAGAATATTCCCAAAATATGAGATTTTCCTAATTCTTCTAATTATCTAGAAATAACATTATAAAAATTGAACAAAACCCTCAAAATGAATCGAGTATACGAAAGAAGATTTCAATGAGTGAAACCCGCGTAATTGTATTGAGGTCACGTCAGAATTGCTACAGTGTAGAACTTTGGATGGAAAATGGAGCTTCATCTCAAATTTTATTTTGATCCTATATTCTTTTATTAGCGTCATTTGATATTATATGTCACACTTTCTACGGGGTTTCAAATATTTGAATTCATTTCAATGTCACTGTATATATTCTCTTCATTTGATATTTCATGAGAAACTTTTTGTGTACTGTCAAATTAAATATGATATTGGATTAGTAAAATAGATTATTGACTTCTTGAGATCAATGGGGAACGAGAAATAAAAAGAAATTCATTATTTTTACAAGGATTCTGAACTCACCATCAGTGGTAGCCATACAGAACATACACTGGAAACGTCTTCCAGAATCAACAAATTGCATGAAAGGGCACATGTACGCTTTGCACCTTATGCAACGGACAGGTCCCAAATCTCCGAAATTCACTATGGGCGGTGGATATTCCTGGTCCACATGTCTCGCCATCGGACTTATGACCAGACTGAAGGGGACCGCTGTTTGCTTCAAAATGTCCTAAAAATAATGTTGAAAATCTAGTCACAGAGATAACTAATGAAAAACTGGAATTTCAAGAAAATGGTGAATATATAGTTTTACAGAGAAATATCTTTCCCTTAAAAAACAGGTTACTAAGTAGAATGTGAACATTCAGAAATACCCCCAGACACAAATCAACCTTAGTCAGACAATGCAGCTAAAGGGAACATAAGACAATAAAATCGTCTACTATTTGATGGAATTCAGAACTTACTTGGGTTATCGGTACATTATACATGGTGGACCTTATGAATCTTGGGCTAGCATTTCCTTGATCTTGAACAATGAAATTAGTAGTCACTAAAGGAGGGACGAGACCTTTTTGATTTGTGACGAATACACCTGATCTATTTTGTTGGTCATCTTGTGTTACTTGAATCTGCAAAACAAATACATTAAGGATGACGTTCATGGAAACGGAAAAGTGATTGGTGTATAGATACAGGACAAATAACATGGATTTCAAGTAACCTTAGCCTCAAAATATATAAAACCACTATTGATTATACAGTGGGCGACAAAATTATAGAATAAATTCAATTAACTTGAGCAAAGAACATAAATTTATTTTTCTGTTTTTTGACCATGTATTTCGTATTGAATAAATCACTACTTGGTGTTGTGTGAATTAATTTCACATCACTGAATACAAAATTGAATAACCTCTAAAATGAGCTATCACAGGAAACCTATTCTCATTAAAAGAATCATCAAGTACTAGTATGAAAATAATAATTAACCTGTTTATTCCATAATTTTGCCGTTCACTGTAGAATCTGAGCAAGTATTCATGATTTTGACAGAACCTCTTTTTCATGGTGTTTTTTGTGAACATTTTTTTTTCTTTAGAATAAAAAAAATAAGGAGTCAATTGGTTCTGCATGCAACAGCACCTATTTATTTCTGAAGTTCTTTAGAAACCATAGTCATTCAGATTTACTTTCAGAGTTCCTGAAATATATCATATCTTGTCATGAGAGAGTAGTCCTCGTAAGTTTTCATGTTGAAACCATGCTTTGTAGAACCTTGTTAGCAAAGCTGGATGATATGAAGTGACATTTTTGAAACAAGGCGCACATTTTATTTTTATTTTATTTAGATAATTATATCAAAAACATTTTCCAACAGAATGAAGTTTCATCATGTGAAAATTCAGGATACATTTGCTTTCAATAACAAACATTCATGATGGTATATTTACCGGACTAGGCATCTGATCTGGATCCAGCCTCCTATTCTGCTGTTGCTGAGGATAAACTCCAGGCCCACTGGCATATCCAGGTTGTCCAGGCATCTGTCCTTGTCCAGGCATTTGTCCCTGCCCAGGCATTTGTCCCTGCCCAGGCAAATGTCCTTGTCCAGGCAGCTGACCCTGCCCAGGAATTTGACCAGGCATAGGCATTTGACCAGGCATAGGCATTTGACCCGACATAGGCATTTGACCTGGCATAGGCATCTGACCCTGACCAGGCATCTGACCAGGCATGGGCATAGGTCCTTGTCCAGGCATAGGAGGGTAACCTGGCCCCTTTATTTGCTGCCCATTCATGTAGCCTGGTTGATTTAATGGTGGCGGCATATGCGGACTACCGTCTCCATTCATAGCGTTTTTCATGGGTCCACTTGGATATTGTCGCGGACCACCCAAATTCATTCCTAGTATAGGCGACTGAGATTAAGATCGTAGCGCCAGAACGGCGAATGTCGGTACTACTCTATGGGCCATTGGCGGATTGTTTACATTGTTTGGTAATGGTGTTTATGTTCATTTCGTTTTGAGTTTTCAAACATCCAGCTTTGTTATTTGTCTATTTTCGAACTTTGTATTTTCCAGCGGTCTACTGTGTTTTGATTGAGGACTATATTATCTCTGTTCAACATCAGATAACCTCCCTACCTCTAGTTGAACTTCATATATACCAACATGCATAGGCTGTAAGTTTTTATCATTATTGAACAATAATTCTCATGAAAACCTGTGTGGGATGTTGATTTCCAATTCAAATATATAGCTGGGATATTCCCCTGATAGTGCATGATATTTTAAAACAAAATCCAGCAAACTTTTTGGGAATAAAGTGTTCTTTGGAAGGTGAATTTAGGTAAACAGTTTCTACTTGACTTTTTACAACATAATCATCGAAACCCTGCTTGATAACATTCTTTACTGTTCAAAAATTCTACTATTCATGAGTAAAGATATAATCAGTTTGAAATTTGTTTGTTCTTTCATCACCACCTCAAGAAGTAGGTATTATATTCATAATAGACATACATTTAAAAATATACCTATAGGTATGAGTAAATTTTCAGTGAAGTGTAAAGAACAATATCTCATTATGTTCAGACACTTTACACTTTTTCCAATCTTCAAGTTATGTATCCACACCTTTCTCCTACTGATCACTTCCTTGTTTCCCAAATTATTAGTTTCAAATACAAATTTAGACTGTCCTGATTTTTGAAAGGAATGAAAGCTATACTCTGGATTTTTTTGCTCAAGATGAACAATGAGGTACACAACAATGATGACTCATGTTTTTAAACGTTTATAGAAGTTCTCAAACAAAATTATAGACAATTAAAACACAACTACTTCTCATACAAAATACACGCAAACTAATGTAAACAAAGCAATCAATGGCCCATACGTTAGTTATATTAGACAACGGTAGAGGGAGTACTCCTTAGCATGAATCGCCTATAGTGAAACAAAGAAGTATAATGAAATTTTCGGGAGAATTAAAATCTCCCAATTAGAAGTTTCACTTTGATAGTGTTAATTTCTCAATTGAATCAACCGAAAGCTATGCAAAATTATGAAATATTCCTGGCAGCACTGGAAATATCGAAATCATTGGAATATTCTCGCCAGCATTAAGTAAAAAGTCACCACAAATAACTGCCATCTAGGATAATGAACAAAAAAAACACATCTAGTACAAATCCAATTGAAAGAACTATACAAGAGCATCAACTCCTAGATTAGTTTTGTGCATCCGAGAATATACGAGGTATTTTTAAAATAATCACATATAATATATTCAGCATATCAATATGATACAGTCTTAAGAATACCACCAAATAATCAGATTTGTTCACATTCTTCTGATTAACAAGGGAATTCATCATGGAAATTGAACAAAGACCTGAAAAAATCGAGTAGGCCACTTCAACACAACTCAAACGATTTAAATCCGCGAGATTGTGCCTCCCAAACGAAAATTTGAACAGAGGTGACGTCAGAATTGCTAGTGTAGAATTTTGGATGGAAATGGGGCATCACTCCAATTTTATCTTGATTCCAGATTTGTATATATTGAGGTCATTTAATAGCATACCTTAAACTTTCTCAAGGTTTGGATATTGTCTGGGACCACTCAAACACAACTCAATTCATTACAAGCAAGGAAAAACAAAGTAGTGTAATAAACATTTTGGGAGAGTTGAGAGCTCCCAGTTATAGGTTTAATCTTGATAGAGTCGATTTCTCAATTAAATTATCCGGAAACTATGCAGAATTATTAAATTAAAAATATTTTTGACATTATTAGAAATATTTCCATCATATATAAATATTCTAGGCAGCATTGGGAATATGCTTGGTATCATTGTAATATTCTCGCCAACATTGGTAATATTCCTGGCAGCATTGGGGATATTCCTGGCGGTAGGAAAATTTACCGCCAGCATTAGAAATATTCCTGGCTACAACCCTGACGTATTGGGATTTTTTCCAGCAGCATTAGATTATATTCCAGGAATATTTGGAAATGAATTGATCAAGTCAACATAATAGTTTACCTAACAAGTGCGGAAAGTAATGCTTTTCCGCACGCGATTGCGGATCGCCGAACTATGCTTAAGATCCCTTTCCGCACATGTTAGTGTTGAAAGAGTAACTTTCCCGCACTAGTTGTTGCCTTTTCGGTTTTACCTAACACGTGTAATGGGACAATGGGACTCTTCCGCACTTGTTAGGTCAAAAAAAAGGAAAATTTATTATTATGCAAAAATATTCTAATGTTAGTATGCTCCCCAGATATTTAACAAATTTACTTTATCTAACTCGTACGGAAAAGTGACTGTTTCAACACTAAAAGGAGTGCGAAAAAGTGGACTTTTCCGCACACTAGTAGAAGAAAAATCTCCTCAATCCACCACTGAAATACCTTGTACACTGAATGGGAAGCTATGAGCATCATACCTTGCATTTGATTGTTCAGCTGATGTGACTTGTTGGGTAACGGTGGCCCACCGGGCAACATTTGATGTCCTCCTTGTGGAATTTGTGGTCCTCCTTGTGACATATGGGGCCCTCCTTGTGACATCTGTGACCCACGCATCATTTGTGGCCCTCCAGGAGGCATGTGTGACATCTGTGACCCTCCATGTGGCAACTGTGACCCACCAGATGGTATATGTGACCCACTAGTTGGCATCTGTGACAAACCAGGTGGCATATGCTGTCCACCAGGTGGCATCTGTGACCCACTGGTTGGCATCTGTGATAAACCAGGTGGTATCAGTGATCTGCCAGGTGGCATCTGTGACCCACTATGTGGCATTTGTGGGCCACTATGTGGGATTTGTGGGCTAGTATGTGGCATCTGTGGCCCACTAGGTGACATCTGTGGCCCACTAGGTGGCATATGAGGCCCACTAGGTGGCATCTGTGGCCCACTTTGTGGCATCTGTGGACCACCTTGCTGCATCTGTGGGCCACCTGGTGGAATCTGTGACCCACCAGGTACTATCTGTGACCCACCAGATGACATTAGTGGCCCGACCGGTGGATATGGCCCAGATGCATGCTGGTAAGGGTTTTGCTGATTATTTGCAGACTGAACTTGACCAGGTTGGCCTGATAACATTGGTGGCCCCCGGCCAGGCAATGAGCCTGCTTGGCCAGACCCAAAATCTCCTTGGCCAGTCATTGGAGGCCTAGATGATAGACCCATCAAAGGTGGCTGACCAGACTTTGGCTGGCCTGGCATACCCTGTGATTGAATTGAGTTGTTCTGCATCTGCAATGGCGGCTGATTGAACTGGTTTTGAGGTGGTGGTGGTCCACCTGGCTGAGATGGTTGTCCCATTTGCGAGGTTTGGTTAGATGATGGTCTCGGTGGGACGTTCGGATTATTGCCTTGTTGCTGTTGTTGTTGCAGATTTGGTGGTGGGCCTTTCTGAGCTGGATTCGGTGTGGTGTCAAACTGACTTGTTGGTGTTATATGTTGGGATGTACCAGATGGAGGTTGTCCCATTTGGAAGGGTTGGTTGGATGGGGGTCTCGGTGGAGCATTTGGGGTTTGATGTGCAGTTGGGGTGCCGACATTGCTTGTAGTGTCTTGTTTTGGGTCGATGGGTGTTTGACTGGGTTGGTGAGATGGAGGTCTGGACGGAATATTTTGAGTGGGTGCTGGGCCATATTGGTTAGGAGGTTGAGAACCAGAGATGTTTTGTGGTGTGAATGTTGGTCTGCTCTGCTGATCCGTTGATGACACTGTGAAATTACAAACATCATCAAGTTTATTTCATTTTTTGAAATGATAAACTGTATATCATAGTTATCCAGGTATGTATCAAGGGCGTATAACAGGCTTTTATGGACCGTAGCTTGTGAGTAACCAAGGTCCATAAAAGCAATGTATGCCCGAAATACGTTCATTTTATACACGACCGGTATATTTGATTATTACGAAGTAGTCCACGGGCGGTTAAGTGCTACTTTACGCCCAGTAGTGAATGATAGTTTTTTATGTATAAAGGGCGTAAAATAGGATTTTATGGACCATAGGGTTTATGTAAGAGCCCGAGCGATAGTGAGGGCTATTCACACATTTTATGCACGAATATCATTGATGGAATCAACGTTACCATGGTAACTCAGTCAAATTTTTGAGATCAGAGTAGACTAGACAGGAATATCAAGAAAACTGTGATACTAGATAATGAAACATGACAACTAAAACATAAATGTCCTGAATTATACAGGAATGCTTATTACAAGTTACCTACACGCCGGGCGGTAAAGTAGTCCGCGGGCGGTAAATTGCCACTTTATACTCGCAAAACCAGGCGGTGAAGTGCTATTTCACGCCCGGTCATGCATAAAAGTTATTACAGATAGATTTGATTCAATTTACCTGGGATGTGTCCATTCTGAACATTGGGAATCATATCACTTTTCATTGGCGGACCACTATTTAGCTGAGAATTGAAGCCATGACCACCAGAGGGGGGTAGCTGGCTTGGTGGAATTTGTACCATAGGTGGTAACTGACTTGTCGGAGGTTCTCTAGCTATTGAAGTAGTGAAATTGTTGGGTGGAAAATCCCCTGGAGGGGGTTTAGAAGGACCCAGAGAAACATTTTGGAATCCCTGCTGGGGGCCTCCAAACTGCTGTGGAGGTAAATACTGTGGATTCATGTAGCGGCGTCACTGAAAAAATACTATTCCATTATAAAATAATGAATATTTAACTTGCTCAGAAAAATATTTTCAGTTTCAAATGAAATATTCACAGAAATCATTTCATCAAGTAGTTACTATACAAGGTGTCCCAGAGCTTTTATATGGGATCAAAACTTCACCAAAATAATGAGATAATATCACCCTTGCGCCAAACTATGTATTTACCTACTAGAAATCACCCCCACTGTAGTTTTTCGAGCGTTTTTCAAATTGTAAAGGTTTGTTATACCGGAAAAAACAGGGGGTTTTTTCCTTGCATTTTTAAAATGTACCTATACCATTACATTATTGAAATTACCAGCTGACCCGGCAAACGTTGTTTTGCTATATACATGTCATCTGTAGAAATTATTGTTTCAGTTAAATATTCAACAATACACCTTCATTATTTTATTTTCTACTTCTTTTTAGTTTGACTATCCGTAATAGCGTGTTTTGTTAGTTTTTCAAACCACTTTATTTATTTTCTACATATTTTCAGTTCGGTTAACTCTATAATTCAGTACTATTAATTTTCTACTCTTGTTTAGTTTGACTATCTATAGAAGCTTGTTCCATTAGTTTTACAGAACACCATTTACTACAAAGCTCGTTTTTTCATATTAAATCAGCCATCTTGAATTATCTAATTATGGCGAAGGAATCATAATCTCACTCCGAAAACTCCCAATTACAAATATTGGTAGAATCGGATCATAATTAGAAAACTTGTTCACCATATTAGATCTGCCATCTTGAATTTCTCAATTTTGACGAAACAATCACATTTTCTAGCCCCGAAAATTCCTATATACCAATTTTAAATAGAATCGGATCATAATAATTACGAAACCCGTCCGCCATATTGGACCCGCCAATTTCCTAATTTTGACATAGGAATCATATTCCCCGACCCCAAAAATCCTCAGATACAAATTTTGAATAGAGTCGGATCATAATCAATAAGCTTGTTCGCCATATTGGATCTGCCATATTTTGAGGACAGAATCATCTCCGACCCCAAAAACCCCCAGATACCAATTTTAAATAGAATCGAACCATAATTAAAAAACTCGTACGCCATATGGGACCCGCCTATTTGAATTTCCTATTTTTTACGAATAAATCATAATGTCCGACCCCGAAAATCCCCAGATATAAATTAATATCGGATTACAAATCGCGTCCGCCATCTTGAATTTTGATACGGATTTCATTCCATCATAGGTTTTCACACTTATAGGTGGATATGTAATTGAAATATTCATGTTTAGTTGTCTTCTCGGTTTTATTAGGTGTTTCAAAAAATACATATAGGTGCAATTCGAAAGTTAGGGGGTTGTTTTTAGTAGAAGTTTGACACAAGGGGTGATTTGATCAATTTGAACAGCATTTGATCCAATATATAATTCCACAGTTCCTGAAACAGCCTGTATAATAATAATAAAATGAAAATCTTCAATTCATCTCATTGGTAAGAATCGAGGTCAAAATATCAAACAATGATGTGTATCAATATTCAAAGAAGTAGGTGGGAAAATAATACTCAGAAATCATTCAGTATCTGCGAGGATATCTGACATACAGGGTGTCCCTGAAAGGTCTGTACAAAATCTTGGGCCAAATTCCTGAGTTCGAAATAAGCCGATTTGAATTAAGCAACTTATCTCAGTCCAAAATTGATCCGTTTCCGATATACAGGCTGGTGAAGATAAATAATGAAAATCGACAAGTACACTACAAGAAAGTATTTTGAAAAATCCATGTCTGCACTGCTAACTATTTTTTTTTTTCATTTCTTAAATAGTCGATTTTTAGGTGCTAAAATCATAAATAATGCAAACGGCTAGAAATTTGCAGCCAGTAAAAACTGACGCAACGATTTCGTAAGTAGGGGCAGACCATAACATAGTTGCCATGTGTTGAAATAATAGAAGTATTGGTAATATTCCAAATTAGCAATAAAAATGCAATTGTCTCAAAATGCTCCCTTATGATTTGTGGCTTATTGCTTATAATAAATTTGTGTAAATAATAATTATATGAATTCACACTGGAGGACATTTGAATCGGTGAACGTGACAACCCCGCGCACGACTCGTGGACGTGGTCTTGTCAGTTCTCAGCATTCAGCACAATATTGCCAAGATTCTAGCATTCACATGATATTTTGTTATAGAGAATTAGAAATATTTGGACATGCTGGTTGCTCGAAAAAGTCAAGTATGATCTATAATGTCATGCGTTCCTCCTATTATATTTTATTCGACAACAGGGCTCATATCTTTTTGATAACTTGATTATAATTGGTGACTTGACAACTTTGCTTCATGAATGGAAATGGAAGATCATCTGACCAATAACGAAACAGCATAAAAACTGACATCACCATTCATTCGACGTATCGCCAAATGGCGACCATGACGTTACGTTTGAAATGAGCTCGGAAATTCAACGATTTTGAACAACTCATAGACTTATTATGTACCGGGTGTACCACTAAGAAAGGACGCCGGCTGTATCCCGGAAACTATTTGCCGCACGTTTCGGAAAAAAATATTCATGATAAAAAAGGCCAAGAAAAACCTCTGGAAATTATTTTCAAGTTTCCAGGACAGCCGCTAGAGGGCGTAATTGCATTGGCCAATTTAAGTCGGGTTTTTATGAAAATTTGATATATCAAGACATATCAAGAACACTTTTTTCATATTGAGGAATTGATTTCCAATCATTTCGATAAAAAAAAATTGCGCTAGCTCTTTAACTAAAAGAGTGAGAAAAGGATGAATAGTACTTTGGAAAAACTCTTATTACTACAGTTTGGTGTAACGGAATTCAATGATCTTGGTCTCATTATGAAGGTTTTTTTCAGATCTTGCAGATAAATCACGAATCAAGTCGATTCAAATCCCGTGGTGGCCGCTAGATGGCATCGTTTGACAAATCAGCAGATTTGTCATTTTTTCCCGAGAATTTCAAATGGAACCATATATTTTTTCTGCTATAATATGAAAGTAAAGTAAACGAGAAGAAAACCACGAGTTGATACCTCTCGAAGAATCGGAGAAATACTTGGAATAATATTATTAAAATTTAAACTGCTAGCATGTCAAATGCCTCCTCATTCGATATCGGGATTTTGACAAAAAAGCAATCCATAATAGACAGTGGAAGCTTCCAATAGAACTTCAATTATATTTTGACGTTACTTTCATTCAAAGCCAACTTAATTGCCTTCTCTCATTCCTGAGCGTCTCACTACTTACATTTCAATTAGCTATGTCATTACTAGGAGTCTCCTTCACTATTGTGAGATATAACTTCATAGGTATAGAAACTTTCTGATTACGATTATTGAAGTTAGATTCCTGTGGTGAATATTTTCATAATACTATTTTGAGTATTTCACCGGTTCCTCAAGAGGTATCAATTCGCGGTTTTCACCATTCTTCTTCTCGTTTGCTCTACTTTCATATTAGAGTGGAATAAATATATGATTCCATTTGAAATTCTCGGAAAAAATGGAAAATTGTCTGACTTTTTCAAACGATGCCATCTAGCGGCCACCACATGATTTGAATCGACTTGATTTGTGATTCATCTGAAAGAACTAAAAAACCTTTCATAATGAGACCAAGATCGTTGAATTCCGTTACACCAAACTGTAGTAATGAGAGTTTTTTCGAAGTACTATTCATCTTTCTTTCTCTCTTTCATTGAAAGAGCTAGCGCAAGTTTTCTTGATCGAAATCATTGGAAATCAATCCGACAATATGAAAAAAGTGTTTTTTTGCTTAACAATGTTCAGAGCATTATTTCCTTGACGAATAAAGTGAAAAACTACACTGAGAAAAAAGTTATTGTCATTCTAATGACACACAGTGTTTCACATCCCAACAAACCCACAAATATCAATTTTTGAAGTAATACGTTTGAAAATGTCCATAAATTCTGAGAAATTCGATTTATATTCTTCAACTTTACCACCCTGTACCTCGAAAATGGAGCAATTTCGGACTGAGGTGAGTTGCTTTGAATCGGCTCATTTTGACCTCAGGAATATATGTGCTGAGATTTTGTACAGATCTTTCAGGGACACCCTGTATATTTTTGATTTCAAGTGAAATGCCACCTGATGGGCTGGTAGTCAGAATTTATAAATAGTATGTTTAAGTATAAGTGGATATTAAGGTATTTAAAAAACGCGCGATTTTTCCAGCAGCACGGCCTAGCCGAAGTGCTGGAAGTAGAGCAAATATTTCGAACACCAGTTATCCTGGAAAACTATAAGCTATTTTTTTAATGGTACACTTTGAGATCATAAATAAGAACTAATTATACAGGGTCTGTCACGAAGAGCTCACACTATCTTTATATCGAGAATCAGTCGATAGAAATCCATAAAAATGTGCATGCTTATATTTTAGAGTATGCTCTCATTTAAAATTTTCGACAATGTAGTGTTGCCGCTTCTACTAGGAACACCCTGTATATTATCGCATTTTTAGATTCTCCCTGAAGAGCTGATTTTATCGATGCATCACACTTGGGGTCTATCGAAAAAGATTACAGAGATATAGAAGGTGTTCAAAATCGAAATTTTTCCACTTTAGGATTTTTTTGTGTCGAAACTATTCATTATTGGTCAAAACGGCTCACATGTCTCAACCTCAACTTTTGATTCACTATTTACTGATATTTATTCGGAAAAGATACAGGGTGGTTCAAGATTCAGAATTCTTATCACCCAGTATCTGTTCCGAATAAATGTCAGTAAATAGTAAATCGAAAGTTGAGATAGGGACATGTGAGCGATAATAAATAGTTTCGACACAAACAAATACTAAAGTTGAAAAATATCGATTTTGAACACTCTATATATATGTTATCATTTCCGATAGACCCAAGTGTGATGCATCGATGAATTCAGCTCTTCAGGGAAAATCTGAAAATGCAAATATATACAGAGTATTCTA